TTCAAGAGAACAGCATCTAAACAAGTATATTATCTAGGGTGAAACAGATCACCAGCCCAGGTTGGGTACATGAGACAAGTGCTCGGGCCTGGTGCAGTGGGAAGACCCAGAGGGATCGGGTGGAGAGGGAGGTGGGAGGGGGGACCGGGATGGGGAATACATGTAAATCCATGGCTAATTCATTTCAATGTATGACAAAAACCACTGCAATGATGTAAAGTAATTAGCCTCCAACTAATAAAAATAAATGGAAAAAATAAAATAAAATAAAAATTAAAAAAAAAAAAGAAGGAGAATTTTAAAAGTCATCAATCATTTGGGGACATTTTTAACCCATAAACATCAGATATTGATAGATAAGACAAATTCAAGTATATAAAGTTTTCTATAAAACAAAATTAGCACATGTGATCTAAGAAAGAAACAGACAATGAGCTTTTTCCCATATACATGGAACATTTACAAAAATGATCTCATAAAAAGTAACAAAAGAAAAGTCAAAAGAATTCAATCACATACACTATGTTCTCTGATCACAGAATTTAACTAGAAGTCAGCAAGTAAAAACAGCTTCCTCCCAAGGGGAGGGGGCAGGTGGGACACATACATATATATTCCATGGCAATCACAAAATATTAAGAATAAAACAATACAGCACTATACATGGGATTTGGCTAGAGTGATAACATAATTTAATTTATAGTCATAAATACAGATATCAATATTTCAAAACAAGAGATTAAAAATAAATGAGCTGTGTTCAATTCAACAGGCTAGAATAAGAAAGCAAATATGAAACATAAAGATAGGATAAAATTTTTAAAAGACAATTAAAGACACTATATAGAAAAAGAAGAAAAAAGCAAAAAAAAAAAAATTTAACCAACAAAAGCAACATATCTCCAACAAGATATAGAAAAGAGAAAAGCTGAAATTAAATAATACTAAGAATTAAAAATTAAGCAAACCTGAGGGACATTAAAGATTGTCAACAAATCTGAAATATAACTTCTTAGAAAAATAGAGATTACCAAATTGTGTCAGGAAAAAGGAATTAACCAATAAACATTAAATGAACCAATCATCTACCAAAGTATCTTTTCTCAAGACACCATGGCCAGACAGCACTATTTTCTTAACCTTAACAAAACAGAAACAGCAATTTAAAGCTAGAGTAAAGAAAAATATAAATTCATAAGCTGCTAGTGTCACAGTGTCAAAATCACCTCAGGGAGCAAAGAGCAATTTTGTATGATATAATGAAACTGAAAATATCCATAAGTAAGATACTATAATTCCAATTCTAGTTATTTACAATAGGGAAATGCTCAGATATGGTACAAGAAGTGATACACATGACTGTTTCTTGTAGCATCCTTTGCAAAAGCAAAATTTGGAGACATTAAAAGTTCCTCAGCAGGAAAATATATACATGTATGCAGTGATATACTAATATTTTGCTGCTGTTGTTCAGTCACTCAGTCAAGTCCAAATCTTTGCGACCCCATGGACTTCAGCACACAACGCTTCCCTATCCTTCACCATCCCCCAGAGCTTGCTCAAACTCATGCGCATTGAGTCAGTGATGCCATCCAACCATCTCATCCTCTGTCATCCCCTTCTCCCCCTGTCTTCAATCTTTCCCAGCATCAGGGTTTTTTCTGATGAGTCAGCTCTTCACATCAGGTGGCCAAAGTATTGGAGCTTCAGCTTCAGCATCAGTCCTTCCAATGAATATTCCAGACTGGTTGGATCTCCTTGCAGTCCAAGGGACTCTCAAGAGTCTTCTCCAACACTACAATTCAAAAGCATCATTTCTTCAGTGCTCCGCCTTCTTTATGGTCCAACTCTCATATCCATGCATGACTACTAGAAAAACCATAGCTTTAATTAGATGGACCTCTGTTGGCAAAGTAATGTCTCTGCTTTTTAATATGCTGTTTAGGTCTGTCATAGCTTTTATGCCAAGGAGCAAGTGTCTTTTAATTTCATGGCTGCAGTCACCATCTGCAGTGATTTTGGAGCCCAAGAAAATAAAGTCTGTCACTGTTTCCATTGTTTCCCCATCTATTTGCCATGAAGTGATGGGACCAGATGCCATGATCTTAGTTTTTTGAATGTTGAGTTTTAAGCCAGCTTTTTCATTCTCCTCTTTCACCTTCATCAAAATGCTCTTTAGTTCCTCTTCATTTTCTGCCATAAGGATAGTGTCATCTGCATATCTAAGGTTATTGATATTTCTCCTGGAAATCTTGATTCCAGCTTGCACTTTATCCAGCCCAGTGTTTCTCATGATGTACTCTGCATATAAGTTAAATAAGCACGGTGACAATATACAGACTTGTATTTCTTTCCCAATTTGGAACCAGTCTGTTGTTCCGTGTCCAGTTCTATCTGTTGCTTCCTGACCTGCATACAGGTTTCTCAGGATATACTCATAATGGTACACTAACCTGCAAGTAAAATAAATGAACTAGAGCCACATATACAACATAGTTATTTCTCAGAAACTTAATAATTAATGAAGAAAATACATGGCTTGGACTTTCATGGTGCTACAGTGGATACAAATCCACCTGGCAATGCAGTGTACACGGGTTCAATCCTTGGTCCAGGAAGGTTCCACATGTAGTGGAGCAACTAATCCCATGTGCCACAACTCCTGAGCCCATGTGCCTAGAGCCCATGCTCCACAAGAGAAGTCACCACAGAGAGAAGCCTGTGCACCTCAACAAAGAGGGAGCCCCCGCTTACTGCAACTAGAGACAGCCTGCGTGTAACAACAAAGGCCTAGCACAACCATAAATAAATAATTTTTTTAAAAAAAGAAAAGACATGAATCATAATGATGTCTCTAATACCATATAAAAAAGTTTAAATATACACATAAAAAAACAGTTTGTGCTTCTTGTAGACATATATAAATATAACAGCATGTGAAAATGAAAATGAACTTAATTTTTTAAAGTGCTTTTCCCTAGCGAAAAAGAATATCTATAGTGTAGAAAATCAAACAACATAATTTAGGTAATACAGTATATTTAGATTAGTTATTTTTAAAATATGCCTTGCTTTAAAATTATATTTTTATCTTGGTGTTTTAAAAAATCTCCAAGAGTTAAAAATCTCTCTTTGCTGTTAATGTCAAGGTTTCTTAAGTTTTGCCAAACTCTTTTTATGATAATCCATGAAATTACTACTCTGTTACTACTATTGTTACTACTGAAATTACTACTATTTGTTCCTATTTGCAACAAATATCCCCATTGTATTCCATGGAGTATTTTCTTTACTTCTTAACAATGAAAAATCCTGAACACTGAGAGTAAGAAAATAAAAGCCAAGAACTTGTATGAATGTTGAGAACAGAGATGCAATCAAATTCCTCATCATTAGTTGTTACTGTCTTCTAATGCTCTGAGGAAATTAAAATCTATCTATAAGCACTGGCTGATGGAAGGGAACTATAATAAGTAATAGAAGGTAATTGTGTAAACCGTGAGGGACTTATTAATTATCTGGTGATTTAACAGAAATGCATCTTAGTCTACTTGTGTTTAAAGGAAGCAAAGAAAATCAAACCTGCTGCCAACAGAAAAAAAATATTCTTCATATGAGCTTAATATCTGGCAAATGTCTATCTGAAAATCTATTAAAATAACATATATAGATAAACATATACATACAGACCTAAAAATACAGAGTAATATTAAAAATACTTAACAAACAGTATGGCATGGGCATTAGAAAATCAGAAAAACATACTGACCAGTCAGAACAGAAGCTGACTGTAAACAAAGGGCAAATCAGACACTACACTTAAGGGGAGAAGAAAAGTAAAAATAATGATCATTTCCTTACACCATATGGTCCTGTTTATTCCATTTGATAGCCATGCTTCTCAAACTTCAATGGGCATATGAATCCACTAAAGATCTTGATCAAATGCAGATTCTAATTCAAGAGGTCTAGATGGGCTACAAATCCATGATATTTAAAGTGTGGTCCTCAGTGCATCAAAATACACATCATCTGAGAGCTTGTTATAAGTGCAAAATCTCAGGGCTGAAAAAGAATCATCTTGACGAGACCACTGGACAATTCATATCTCAAATATTAGAGTTGAGAAGCACTAGTCTATATGACATATTTATGATCTGAAACCTCCAAAAGATCAAAGACAAAAAGGGGGTGGGGAAGATTTTACAGAATAAAAAAGGACCCAATAAATATAACAACTAAATACAACATGTGGAAGTTGGTATATGGTATCTCTAGTTAGCATGATACTAGAGAATTGCTATTAATTCTATTAAATGTGACAATAGCATATGGGACAATATCAATGTACAATAAATGGAACCTAAGAAGGAGCAGGAGGAGAAAAATTATGTGAGTTCTAGAAGACTCAAAACTATAAGATATAAATTTTCCAAAAGTGAGCTACAGATTCTACAATATGCCAATGAAAATCTCAGAAGGATGCTCTTATAGAAATTGACAAGTTGATGCTATTTTCTCCATTCATCCCACTCTCTCCTTCCCCCACTGAGTCCACAGTCCATTCTCTGTATCTAAGTCTATGTATATACACTACCATGTGTAAAATAGATAGCTGGTGAGAAGCTGCTATATAACACAGGAAGCCCAGCCTGATGCTTTTTGAAGAACTAGAAAGGCAGGATGGGAGGAGGGGAGAGAGGCTCAAGAGTGAAGTGACAAATGTACAATTATGGGTGATTTGCATGGTTGTACAACAGAAACCAATACAACATTGTAAAGCAATTTTCACCCAACTAAAAATAAAATTTTTAAAAAGAAATTGACAAGTTGATTCAAAAATTATATAGAAATGCAAAGAACATAGTATAGCCAAAAATGTTTTGATAAACAACAAAGTTATCCAACAATGTTTGGATAAAAAACAAACTATTTGATTTCAATATTTACTATAAATTTACCATAATCAACACAGTATAGTTTTGGTGTTTGGTGTTTAGGTCAAAGGAACTGTAGAAAGAATCGAAAAGATCCACTCATATAAAGCAGTTGTACAAGCTGAAACTGTGGTAAGTGATCCTAATAATCAATTTGGGGGAAAAAAAATTATTTTGTGACCTTTACATATGTTTGTTGAAACGTTGAAAACTCTCTTGTGTGTGTGCATGACTAAGTCACTTCAGTTGTGTCCAACTCTTTGCGGGTCCATGGACTATAGCGTGCCAGGCTCCTCTGTCCATAGGATTCTTCAGGCAAGAATACTGGAGTAGGTAGCCATACCCTTTTCCGGGGATCTTCCTGATCCAGAGATCAAACCTACATTTCATGTCTCCTGCATTGGCAGGCAGGTTCTTTACCATTAGCGCCACCTGGGAAGTCCAAATACTCTCTACTGTTGGTTATAAACATATAGGGAAATGGTTTTAAGTAAAACTGATATTTATTCAACATATTGTCATTTATAAATTAGCTTTGGAGGAGGCAATCCTAAGAATAAGACCACCAGTTGATCTGTGAGCTACCCCCAGGCAAACTTAGAGTTCTTTTATACCCTCTCTTGCCCATGAGCTGTGCATTCCACTGCTTCCCCATGCTGGAAGTTGCCCAAGGACACAGCCTTGAGTTAGTAAGGTGGTATTGAAAGCATATGGATGGTATATATCACTGAGTCTAATTAAAACCTCTATATAAACTATTAAGGTTCTGGCAGACAAGTGCAGAAATCCACTTATATTGCAGCCACCCAAGACAAACTTCATATACAAGTTTTCTTGCTTATTAAACCAGCCACCTACCAATCTAGAGTCATCTGCCTCTTTCTTCAGTCTCTCCCTACACTCTGCTTATGAGGGCCTGTTTATGAAAGTCCAGAAACTCCCAAGGAGGTGTTTTCTTTATTAAAAAAACACATATGGCCTCCAACTTATGATCATTGGAATCGCAATTTTTCAACTTTACAATGGTACAGAAACTATATACATTCAATAGAAACTCTGTTTTGAATTTTGACCTTTCCCTGGGCTAGAAGGAAATGGCAACCCACTCCAGTATTTTTGCCTGGGAAATTCCATGGACAGAGGGCAGGCTACAGTCCATGAGGTCGCAAAGAGTCGGACACGACTAGAGCGACTAAGTTTGCTGGGCTAGTAACATGTGGTACATTACTCTGTACTGATATGGGCAGTGGCGGAGAGCCACAGCTGCCAGTCAGCCACACAGTCACCAGTATAAACATTCAATACACTAACAACCATTCTGATTCTCACTTTGAGTACTGTATTCAGTAAATTACATGAGATATTCAACACTTTATTATAAAATAGGCTTTGAGTTAGATGATTTTTACCTAACTACAGGTTAATTTAAGTGTTCTGAGCAGGTTTAAGGTAGGCTAGGTTAAACTGTGACATTTGGTAGGTTAGGTATATTAGATGTATTTTTGACTAAACAATATTTTCAACTTATGATGGGATTATGAGGATATAACCCCAACATAAATCAAGGGAGGAATCTGTACTATCAAGTGTAGCGTGAATAGAACATCCTTCTACTTCTTGTCATATAATACAGAGCAAGCATCTTTTCTGTACCTGTCTATATTTGGATTGGCTTCCACCATTTTATATTTGCATTTCCTTTTTGTTTCTTCCAGGAGGAATGGTGGTCACTCCTACTACTTTCCCATGTAATTAAAGAGAAGGAATCAAAGATGAAGTAGAGCTCTCAACAGAAAAGTTCATGTGTAACAGCTGCTCCTGTTAATTCTGTTCACCATTTTTCTTGTTATTTTTCACTCTTTTAGAACCATCTTAGCTTCTTGAATGTGGTCAAGGCTCTCCTTTCATAAAAGTTATTAGTCAAGTCAAGGTTTTACATTCATTGGTGAAGGAACAAGAACACTGGTCTTAGAGTTAGTTCTGGATTCAAGAATCAGCTCTACCACTCCATGACTCTGAACAAGCCAATTAATCTCTCTGGTCTGTTTTCCAAATGATCATCTATTTAATGGGAAGACTAATACCCAGGCTACCTTATTAAAATGAGTAGTATGAGGGGCAAATGAAATGATGTATGTCTCAAAGCACTTTGTAAAACATGAGACTATATGATTCTTATTCAATATGAATTTGGAAAAGAATTCAAAAAGCATTCCTAGATATTTTTTTTTGGACAAAACAAAACAAAATTAAAAGGAAAAAACAAAGGAAATGAGAAAACTGGGTCAATGAGTAAACTCTTCGCATGAGGTGGCCAAAGTACTGGAGTTTCAGCTTCAGCATCAGTCCTTCCAATGAACATCCAGGACTGAGCTCCTTTAGGATGGACTGGTTGGATCTCCTTGCAGTCCAAGGGACTCTCAAGAGTCTTCTCCAACACCACAGTTCAAAAGCATCAATTTTTCGGCATTCAGCTTTCTTCACAGTCCAACTCCCACATCCATACATGACCACTGGAAAAACCATAGCCTTGACCAGATGGACCTTTGTTGGCAAAGTAATGTCTCTGCTTTTTAATATGCTGTCTAGTTTGGTCATAACCTTCCTTCCAAGGAGTAAGCATCTTTTAATTTCATGGCTGCAGTCACCATCTGCAGTGATTTTGGAGCCCAAAAAAATAAAGTCTGACACTGTTTCCACTGTTTCCCCATCTATTCCCCTTGAGGTGATGGGACCAGATGCCATGATTTTAGTTTTCTGAATGTTAAGCTTTAAGCCAACTTTTTCACTCTCCTCTTTCACTTTCATCAAGAGGCTTTTTAGTTCCTCTTCACTCTCTGCCATAAGGGTGGTGCCATCTGCATATCTGAGGTTATTGATATTTCTCCTGGCAATCTTGATTCCAGCTTGTGCTTCTTCCAGCCCAGCCTTAGAAAGCATCACTATGAACAAAGCTAGTGGAGGTGATGGAATTCCAGTTGAGCTATTTCAAATCCTAAAAGATGATGCTGTGAAAGCGCTGCACTCAATACGTCAGCAAATTTGGAAAACTCAGCAGTGGCCACAGGACTGGAAAAGGTCAGTTTTCACTCCAATCCCTAAGAAAGGAAATGCCAAAGAATGCTCAAACTACCTCACAATTGCACTCATCTCACACGCTAGTAAAGTAATGCTCAAAATTTTCCAAGCCAGGTTTCAGCAATATGTGAACTGAGAACTTCCAGATGTTCAAGCTGGTTTTAGAAAAGGCAGAGGAACCAGAGATCAAATTGCCAACATCTGCTGGATCATCAAAAAGCAAGAGAGTTCCAGAAAAACATCTATTTCTGCTTTATTGACTATGCCAAAGCCTTTGACTGTGTGGATCACAACAAACTGTGGACAATTCTGAAAGAGATGGGAATACCAGACCACCTGACCTGCCTCTTGAGAAATCTGTATGCAGGTCAGGAAGCAACAGTTAGAACTGGACATGGACCAGCAGACTGGTTCCAAATAGGAAAAGGAGTATGTCAAGACTGTATATTGTCACCCTGCTTATTTAACTTATCTGCAGAGTACATCATGAGAAATGCTGGCTTCCCATACCCACCCCTGATCTCCAACATTTTATGTTTGTATTTTCCAAAGTCATAAAATATTCCTAAATGTTCCAAAAATGTTGTTTTATGCCAATTTTATTTTGTCTGGAACATCTTTTCATCACAACTACTTCTTCATTTATGTTAATAACTTGACCTTTACCAAGTTCCTCTGGTTGCATATCTAGAGTCTCTCCAGTGCACATTCCCACAGTCAGCTATTACTTCTATAACAACATTTACATTCTATCAGAATCTTATGTCTAACACTATCACCTTCTGTTTCTTTGGTCCACTTCTATCTTGATTTCCTCCTTCAGATATCTATTTGTGTAAGCTGTCACACTGATTTAACAATGGGTTACAGAGAGGCTACACAACTTCATACTTTTCAAAACATGCACACTGACCAATCACCAAGAGACTCTGAGAGAAGTGACATGATTGGTCACTTTATCATAATGTGCATCTATTATTTATGTAGCAATCTGTGGACTAAAAAGCTAGCAGTGAAATCTATATTTTATGCACAGCTAATGTACTATAGTAACTGAAATTTGAGCTGAGTTGTTGAGAAACTGGTATCATTTAACTAAACATGGTAATTAAAGATCATGTATATTGGAATTATGTAAAATAAGAATTGTCTTATTGAAATAAATGTTAGATTTAAATTATTTTGAATACTCCTCTGTGGCTACTTGAATAATATAAAAGTTTCACTTGCAGTTACAAAGGTTTTTACTTTTGAAAGCGTTTTCCATGTATTAACTCACCAATGATTTTTGGCAAGTCACAAAACTTAAAGCTAGAAGGAAACTTGTCTATTGTATTAGTGAGTTAGGCTAACTGCTTAACAATAACTTCAAATTTTTAGTGGCTTAATACAATAAGGTTTAATTTCTTCTTCAGACAATAGCCAAATGGGAGATGGCAAAAGCAGTTCTGATCCATTCAGTCATTCAGGAGCCCAGGATTATCCTATGTGATTCTCCTCCTGTACAGTCCATTAGTCGTCTCCATTCAGTAGACAGATAGAGACATTTGTCTATTGGCATTTTATGGGCCAGGATTGGAAATTACATCAGTTCAGTTCAGTCTCTCAGTCATATCCGACTCTTTGCGACCCCATGGTCTGTAGCACAGCAAGCTTCCCTGTCCATCACCAACTCCAAAGCGTACTCAAACTCATGTCCATCGAGTCGTTGATGCCATCCAACCAACTCATCTTCTGTCGACCGCTTCTCCTCCTGCCTTCAATCTTTCCCAGCATCAGGGTCTTTTCAAATGAGTCAGTTCTTTGCATCAAGTGACCAAAGTATTGGAGTTTCAGCTTCAGCATCAGTCCTTCCAATGAACACTCAGGACTGATCTCCTTTAGGATGGACTGGTTGGATCTCCTTGCAGTCCAAGGGACTCTCAAGAGTCTTCTCCAACACCACAGTTCAAAAGCATCAATTCTTTGGCGCTCAGCTTTCTTTATAGTCTAACTCTCACATCCATACATGACTACTGGAAAAACCATAGCTTTGACTAGATGGATATTTGATG